GTTGGCGGTGCTTGAGCCGGCGAGCGGAGTGTCAGGGAGAAGTTTAACCCTTGCCGTCCTGGGCAGATCGGGAATCCGGGCGAGCCGATCCTTTAGGCTGGACGAGAACTTGCCTGGAAGGGGACAGGATTTGGGATACGGATCGGCTCCGGCTGAGCGAGGATCCCAGCTTCAGCACCAGCCGCTCCGGACAGCGCCCTATGGAGCTCCCTTTCAGCAGGCGCTCTGCATCCTCCCCGGAGCGACCGGACCAGGCAGATCTGGGGCGTGGGCTGCTGGAGCTGGACGAAGAGCTGGTGCTAATGGCCGCAGAGGGAGAAGAGGAGCCGGGGGAGAGCGAGGAGTCTGGGGAGGAGCCGCCGTTACTTTCGGTCATCCGGCAGAAGGAGAGAGACCTGGTGCTGGCGGCCAGGCTGGGGAAGGCTCTGCTGGAGAGGAACCAGGACATGAGCCGGAGATACGAGGAGATGCAGAGGGAGCTTACAGAACGCCTGGAGGTCAGAGCCTGCACCGGTATATGTGTACACATAGGCAACCTGAGCACCCCAGCTGTGGTGACACTACTAATCACAGCATGCCCTGCTTCTAGGAGTTATACATGTGGCTGTCAGAGTCCTTCAATGCCTTATGGGACTTGTAGTTCCAGAACAGCTGAGGTTGCCAACCCCTTATAGCAGATCACAGTTCCACATTGTGTCCTTGACTGTCATTCCAGTCAGCCTGGATTGTCACATAAATGACTGCTAGCTAGTATTCATGTGTCATACTGCTGACACTGCCCCTTGCTGCCTTAAATCACAACCGCATCAGATGTACATTCATTTGTATAGGTTAGGGTAATGCTAAATTACTCCCCGTTCACACTTGTGCCATTGGAAGCTCTTCGGCCATCTCATGACAATGCAGGATAAAAGGAATCCTATTATTCTCTATAGGCCCAAGCACACCTATGCGTTGACCTGCAGTGCAACTTTAAATAAGCCCCCGTGTGATTTGTCTCGTGTCTGCCATTGCGCTACATTGCACAACAGTGGAAATCCCATTATTCTCTGAGACAGAGCTGGACAAATCCCAGGAGCCAGGTAGCCAATGTTCCTTAAAAAAAAATTCCAGCTGGTTCCTAACTTTTGAGGTTTTCCCTAGTTGTTATTCCTGCTGGCTCCTGGATTGGACAGACTGCATACTGAATTCTATATTTGCCCAGCGCTGCTCTAAGGTGCACGTTCACACCTATTCACCATGATGCAGTGCAATTTTTGGATAAGTTTATTTCACCTTCATTGGCCAAAAGAAAAAAAGCATAAGGCCTTTAAAAGACATGAAAATGCAGATACACAAGTGTGAACAGAGATATAGAGAGCTTTGAGAATCGGCAATGTTATAACAAATGAAGCTTTACAAATTTAAATGATCTGTATGTCAGCCACAAATAACTGAGTGCATGATTGTCATTACAATATCTGCATCTAATGATGGCTTCTCTCAGCTAATGTGTTTCAGCAGAGGTCTATGTTCTTCTATACATACTGATAAACTGGCCCTAGACACTACTTGGCAGTTGGACAGCAATTCAGCTGCCAAGCAATCATGTTTCAACAGACTTCTACCGGAAGGTAATTTACAGAGAAGCGTCTGTTCACATTCGAAAGATGACCATAGAGATCACTATTTTTGTACCTTTTTATGTACTTAAAACATGAACATATTTTCTTTAAGTTATTTTATGCCATACCTTCACAATCTCTACTATCGAGGCACACATTGTGTTCATCAAAATCTTTTTTTTTTTCTCAAATTCTTTATTTTATGAAATGGGAATATCCATACAAAAACACCGCAAATACACATCAATATACATTCCATCAAATGACTATATTCCAATGCAGATAGTGGATATTTACTACAAGTTTTGTATTATTATTATAATTATAATACAGGATTTATATAGCGCCAACAGTTTGTGCAGCGCTTTACAATATAAGGAAGACATTACAATCACAATACAATTCAAGACAAGATGGTAAGGAGTCAAATAGAGAGTCCCACCGCAACTCCTGACCAAGAAGCCCTATACAATGTGGGGGGGGGGGCTGAAGTGGCCGCAGATGGCGCCTCCAAATACTTGCAAAACAGAAAAATGGTCACCAGCACTCCAGGTTTTCTTCAAAACGAAATCCTTTTCAAAAGGATTTCGTTTTGAAGAAAACCTGGAGTGCTGGTGACCATTTTTCTGTTTTGCAAGATGGTAAGGAGGGCCCTGCCCCTGAGGTCTTACAATCTAAAATTTGTACACAACTTACAATAATAGGAAGGGAAGGCAGCAAGGAAGAGGGGTAGAGGAAATAAGAGATACACACTGTTCTTCCTTTCCCACCCGAAGGCCGTGTCATAACTGTAAAATCTTTTTTTTTATGTTGCTTTAATCATTTTACTTTGCATAAAATGATCGATGATATAATATCTAGTGGTGTGACTCAATTTATAAAATAAAAAAAAGTTTAATGACATTTTGAAAGAAAATAATTTTTATACTCAAGTAAAAAAAGAACTGTTAGAGCCTATGCACTGTGTGATGTGCGTGGAGGTGAGACCAGGAGTTATTACTCGTTGCTCCTCTGATATGGGTAATTTATGAATAGAGTATTATAACAATTAATTTTCTTGGTATAGATTATTTTGTAAAAATCATCAAAGAACATTCAAAGCATGTACAGATAAACTGTATCCATTCTGTTAGAATAGTACCACATAGGCACAGGGTTTTCGGTGTATGGTATGTTCCCTTCTGAAGCAAATATATTGTCTTATCTACAAAGCCCTGCGATCTTTTGTGCTTTGAACAGTGGGAAACAATCTGTGTCTTGAAGACAGTCCTCTAAAGGATTGTGGGAAGTTTGCTAACAATCATAGGATATTCTCAATTGTGGTGTAGGTTACTCCTTTTCAACACTGGGCCTCATTTATCAAAGGAGCTGTTATGCCTCATAGATGCCTATCAGACGCAAACCTACACTGGGAATTGATAGCTGGGTAACCGAAGGAAGAATCTGGTTGGCTAGTAAAGGCCAGGACAAAGTGTCCTGATTTAATTAAGCCACCTTTGGTATAGGTGTCTAGTGAAGCTTTTACAGGGTGCTTCACAAAAGGGTGAAAAGTTTGGAGAAGGCAGGAGAAGTGAACAATCTAGGACAGCATTGCTGAACTGGAAAGTGAGCTGAATTGGAGAATTGTTCCAAAAAAGCTACTTTGTCCTAGATTGTTCATTCTCCTGCCCTCTCCAAACTCTTCACCCTTTTGTGAATAAACCTGTTAGTGTTTCATTGGTACCAGTAAATTTCGGAATGATGGTTTGATGTTGTGTAAGGCCCCTTTCACATGGGTGCCGTCCATTCCATTAAGCAGGGGATCCGTGCACGAATCTCCTGCTGATCGTAGCAATATGGAAAGGATTTCACTCTTGTGATATCCGTGTCCATTCTGTCTTTCCTCCATCTTGCGGTGGAGCAAAAAGCGTAGCTGTACAGAACCATGTTAGGTCTATGGGGAGTCGGATGTAAGCGGACATGTATCTGTTGACATCTGATTAACCCTGATCGATCAAGATTAGATCCACATAAAACACCTCTGTTCCATTTCTGTTTTTTCTAACCTTGACGGACTCGGTGGTAATCGGGCTGAACGAAAGTCCATGCTTAACACCATGAATAGACCAACCCCC